TCAGGCGTAAAAGAAACGGAGACGGGCCCATTGAGGAGCATGGAGCGTAACCAAGAGTAGTAATGGGGTTGCGCCCGTACGAAGAGACGGCAATGTAACCGACCAGGGATCGGTTACCAAAGATAGAGACCGGAGGGCCGGTTCTTGAGTATGACACGCATTCCGATGAGGAACGCGACGACTGAACATCCCACGATGACGAGGGTAGCGGGACCGAAGGTGCGTAGCCAGAGCTCTAACCCGGAAACGGCAGGTGTCGGGTCGAGGCGTAACATGAAGTAGCCTATCTGTGACTGCATTCGGGAACACTCCTTCGATGTCCAGGAATAGTGCCAATACCACTTTTTTCTGCCTCCATGCATGACAAACAGTGTGTTCTAACAAGAGCAGTGAGTCCTCAGTTGAGCGACCAGGCCTACCTCCGAAGTGAGTTGCCAGCAGGAGATTGTGGGCTTCCAAAATGAAGGATGTTCGTTCCGCTACTAACGATGAGAGTAACTTGGCCGTTGTGTTGAGGAGGGCAATGGGACGATATGACTTTGGCATGGTGTAGTCTGCCTTACCTGGCTTGCATAGGATTACTGTGGTGGACTCCCTCCACGGTTCGTAATAGGTACGAAAGGAGAACACTGCATTGAAAAGAGGAAGTAAGTACTCTGACAATAGGGGACAATGTTGAAATACTATGTTGGCTATTTTGTCAGGACCTGGGGCCTTGTATGGGCTGAGCTTGTTGATTGCCTGCTGGAGTTGGTCACCCGTGATCTTGAACCACTTCGTGACTTGTTCCAGGTACTCGTGGTTTGCTGGAACCGAGGACTGTTGCAGAGGCGGGGGGAAGAGCATTTGTGCTAGCATCTGTCCTTTGCTCTCGTTCGTGTCAGCTATGGTCGTTATACCATTGCTGTCCGTTTTTTGCAGCGTCGGTATTCTTGTCTTGCTACTGTCACCTGTAGGGTTGGATATATAACCATTAGCCATCCATAGTCTGTTATCATCAATTTCCTCAAGCCAATCCCTCCAATGTTCTTTCTTGGCCTTACCCATTGCCTTGTCATATTCCTTTGCCTTCTCCTTTCTCGATCTGTGACTTGGGTGGTCGGGCAGGGCTCTAAACGTGTGGGAAGCTTTACTCAGCATTTTTAGATCGTTGCATAGTTTCGTTAGGTCTTTATTCCACCATCTCTTTTGGTATGGGTGTGGATGGGTCCTTGGTACCCCCGACTCCACGGTGCGACGCAGCACACGGTCGATGCCATGAGCTGATGCTTGGAACTCTTCTTTGTTTGCTAGAACTCTTGGTGGGCCCAATAGCTCAAGTTCAGCTTTGAGTTTCCTTTTGAACTTCGTCCAGTCCACTTCTCTGTAGTTCAAGTTTGTCTGAGAGTTCGACGCGGTTACCATGAGATCAATCTGTGTGAGGATGGGCACATGATCAGTATTGGGACCGCGCTCCTGGGGGCAGGTTTTGCATGATTCTATTCGGTCGGCCATCACTTTGGTGCCAAACACATTGTCTGGTTGAGTCCAGTTCCCCGAGCTTGAGGCTGCAGTGTTGGGACATCCTTCGGCAACAGCTGCGTCATGCCATAGTCCGCTACTAGGTCTAACACTTTCTGAGACGCTGCTAGGGCAGTCGATGTAAAGAGGTGACTGTTTCGTTCTTCATCCCACAAGGGATGGTGTCTGTTGAAGTCGCCCAACCACATCATGTGGTCTTCTGCTGTTGGCCTGACCATTGCTATGTTTGCTGCCAGGTACCTTCCCAGCATCTCAACAGTACGATCATGGGTGCAGTCGTTGTACACATTGAATAGAGTGCATAACCCCACCAATGTTCTGATCCTTGTTACTACCACGTCCGCTGATGGGAAGTTGACCTGTTCCCATGAATTAGTACTTATTCTCGAGTTTATAAACATTACTGCTCTCGGCTTTTCCCCTTTGGCTAACTTGTGTGTGGGGTATACAACTCTCCATTGGGAGTTGGCCTTCGTGTTTCCTACTGTGTCAATGGGGGGTTCCTGTAAGGTGATGATGTCCCAGTTGTCAGCTAATGTGCTATTAATGAGTGAGAAGAGAGCTATGCTTGAGTTATTAAGATTTTGTTGCCATATGCATAGTCTTGCCGGTCAGATGTTGTTCATGGTTTGTTCAGTCATGAGGAAGGGTCACAGGGGGGGTCAACTCTGCTGGCATTGGCGCAGGGGCTGGGGTGGCTATGGGGTTAGGTGGATGGACGGGCAGAGTGGGCTGGGCAGCCAGAGGGGGTAACCGGTGGCCGTGCAGGGGTGGGCCACCGCGACCTCTGCGCATCTGTCTGGCTTGGCCCCTTCCTCTTGGGCCGGTGTTCCTGAAGGTCGCTGCCTCTCCGAGCATAGTCTGCCGCAGGTATTGCTGGGCAGGGGGTCGGGGTTGACTAGGTGGGGGCCTGGTTTTGACTAGCTGCGAAGCGGGCTTTGGTGGAGCGAGGACCTGGGTCCAGGCTTCTTCCGTTGGGAAGTATGGCATATTGTTTTCTGGTGTTCTCTCGTCCATGCTGGTGCATCGCTTGATGAACTGTGGGCAGTGTCTGTCAGCGCTGGTGTGGGTGTCAGATTGACAGTTAACGCAGAAGATGTGAGGAGAGGAGCATAGAGCGACTCTATGCTTGCCTGCACATATGCTACATGTATCCAAATCCTGAAGGCAGCTTTTGGCCATGTGTCCTAATCGCTGGCATTTGAGACATCTTATTGGCTCCTTTTTGTCCTTGTGTGGCCTTAAGTGGTCCATGTTGATGTATAAACCGTCTTTCAGTAGCTTGTTGGCTGCTTCAGGGGAAGTGAGCATGAGCAGTGCGTGTGCTACTCGTTGATTCTCATCGCGTTTGGAGGGATCTTTGATCCATTTCACTTGCATGACTGTGGATGCATCAATGTCGTTTTCACGCTCGATGTTGCAGAGCGTGGCTGGATCTGAAATATCAGTGGAAATCAGAAGGAAGGGTACTACGATGTTGAAGAGTCTGTCCTTGATTTGGATGTTACCTCCGAGCTGTTCTATGAAGATTAGCTTGTTGAGTGGGTTTTTCACCCACATTACTGCCTCAGGGCTGTTGAGCTCCAATACAATTCCTTGGTTTCGCAAACAAGCGAGGGATTTGATCTGGATGGGTGGGCTGTCGATAGTCTTGACCGAGGCTATGGCTTCCTTGAGCATGCCAATCATTTCTTCCTTGGTTGTGTTGCCATTGATCCGTGGGTGACCTTGGCCTGGATCAAGCAGTATTTGACGTTCCTTGACAGCAGAGTGGGCCCTTGCAATATTGGTTGGGGTGTTCTGCTGGTGCGTGGTGGTCGCACAGTTCTGGGAAAGAAAGGCTTCACGATATGGCAAGGATCCCTGGGGCTGTACTGCTTTGGTCAGCAGTTTGAGATCGTCTATCACATCTTTGATGGTCGAGGTGTCGGCTGCCAGGGTTCGGAGTTGTGTGTCTACGGAATTGCTTTCAGTCAGATACATTGGGGAGTTCACGCACTCTACGTTCTTCGATAGCTCGATGATATTGGTGTCTAGCTTGATGTTTAATTCGTCAAGTTTGTCCACCACTGAGAGGACTTTGGCAATCTGGGGGGAGATGGCTGCAATTATTGATGTTTCTAGCTTCGTTGTGATGTCGTTGGCAATGGTTTGTGCTGTCGTGGACATGCAGACTTCCTGTATGAGGTATGCTGCCGAGCGGATTGCTGACTTGATGATGGGGGTGACGTTTTTCATCTGAGAAATGTAAAACAATGCGTAGGAGATGTGTTCGGGGGTCAGAGACTTGCCTGGGATTGTGTACTGGTACTTGTCTAGAAATTTTCTTCCTGATGCCGCATTTCGGATTTCTTCTTCTGCATTATTGATTATCTCTGCTACCGGAATTGTGCTACTTCTAGTGGTTGGACGGGCTGGGATTGGAGCAGTGGGTTGGGCCTGTGTAGTTGGTGTTTGAGAGCCCAGCCTCAAGGTTGGGTGCCCTGGCTGCATCATTGCTACGGGATGGCTGTTTCCCACTGTGATGCGGATACCTGAGTAGGTACTACTGGGTTCTAAGATGCTTCTTTAAATGTTACAATGCTTGCAATGGGCTTCTACACTGGGTGGGGCGGCAAAGTTGACTAGGGGTTTTCGGGGTCCTTGTCAGGGTGCCACCTGGAGTGGAGTCAAGGAGCAATTAAGTAGGTGGGATTGCTGTGAGTACTCATGAGGCTCCGTCTCTCAATCCATGTAGCAAGCAAACCAGTGAAAAACAGCAGGAAAAGAAACAAAAGCAATAAAGGACGAACCAACCTTGAGGGCCATTAATTTAGCTCCAATCCCCACACACCGTCACGGGATTTCCAACACTCTTGCCTGAATAAATATTCTTGGTAGTGTTATCGGTTCCGAGTCTCGGGGCGACAATCTCGTTCTCCTTTTGTACTCTCCATTCAGCTCCTGAACGAGAAACAATGCATTGAACAGCTATCCGAGGCAAGAGATCATTTGTAATGATCGGATGTAGCTGCCAACCTGAGACGCAGTGCCAGCGTGTGCTGATGCAACTTCAGTCAATCCAGCGCTACAATCTGAATCCCAGTTAGTGTTAGTGTCAGCTTCCGAGTCATTTTCCCCGGTGGCTGCACTTAGTACTCGGACTTTGGATACGACAAATCCACGGATGCACGAAGATGAACCTCTTCTGCTTGTCCAGTGTGAGATTGTCCACGGTGGTGAACTCTGCATCTCCAAGCCCAGATACCTTGGCATGATTTAGTTTCTCATGGTCCCTACAATTCCACTGGGTATTGAGTGGTCTGACAGGGAAGATGATACATGGAAGATAGTTGTCAATCTGTAAAATGGGCAGGTCCAGGGAATTTGATCTGTTTATAGATACTCAGGCTTCCCACTCAGACAATTGGCCATGTAATTCTGCAATGCACATTTTCATTTTTTCACCTTCAAGTGATGGAAGGGTTGTAAAGAGTTTAGGGCCTGGTCGGGAATTGAACCCAGGACCTCCTCCATTTAGCAACCCTAAGAAGGAATCATACTACTAGACCACCAGGCCGATGAAAGAAAAGATGCAACTGTCCGTGTGAGCCTCCAGCAAACCAGCCCCGACCGAAAGTACGACGCTATTGACCCCTGGACCAGATGATTTAGCGTGTGGATTTTTACAACCAGGTGTGTCGTGCCCGTAGATGATAGCACGAGAAGAAAAACTTAATGATTACTAATCAACGAGTGACAATCTATCCTAAGGCCCGACACCATCCCCCCTTTAGACGAAACTCGCCCTCGAGTGTGTAAGTAGAGTAAGTAATCAACGGGCCATCCGAAATGTATACCGTAGTGAAATGAAGGAGTGTCGTGCGTAGATAGAAAAGGAAAAAAAAGTTATCGTACTTTTTCGCCAGGCAGTGGCTGTGGGTCAGGCTGTGCAAAACGTCCCACGATCCTAATCGATGGCAGTCGCTTCTCCACAGCCTCGTCAGCTCTTGCTGCCTGCGCTGCATCCTCACGGGCCCATGCCTTGCGGAGGGATTTGGGTAGGTACCATGCCGTTTTATTGTTGTCAGAGCGAAGTGTTGCAGGTCGGGTTTGGTTGATGTGCACCAGGTCCGGGCGAGTACGACCACGAAGGTCTTTGAGCTGTATGGTACCCTTATCTCGAACATCGTGGACGATCCAAGGGCCCGTCCAGTTAGGCTCTGCCTTCTGGGACTGGTTATTGCGGACTAGGACATGATCTCCAACCTGGTAAGTCACCCGCTTTCTCCTTCGGCGCTTTGGTTTAGCCCTCTCCCCCTCTGTAGGTTCATCCTCCCCACCGGGCACACGTGCATCGAAAGCACGTTTATCACGTTCTGCCCGAGCTGTTTCCCGAGCCATTGCCTCCTGACGTTTGGCATGTAAGTCTGAGACTCGTTGTTTATGCTGGTCATCTGATGGTGGGGGCATTTCAGGCGCTCGCAGAACAGGCTCGTTGCGGGCGAGGCGCGGTTTCCGGCCATACAGGAGCTCGAAAGGTGACCATTTTGACCCTTCCCGGTGGCGGATGCGAGATGCAAACAGGGCTGCATCTAAGAACTCATCCCAGCGTGATTTGTCACCAGTCGTGTTCATACGGAAAAGGTAGCTCTCGAGTATGCCGTTGAAACGTTCCACCTTGCCATTCGTGCGTGGGTGATATGCCGAAGTGGTAAGTCGTTTTATGTTGGCCTTACGAAGGAAGGCTGAGACGATTGGTGCCAGGAAGTTCTTGCCGCGGTCAGATAGGATTTCGCTAGGGAACCCATAGTGTAGGATTATATGGTCCCAGATTGCATCTACGACGCGCTGTGAAGTTGCGACAGGCAACGGGATTGCTACGGGCCAGCCAGTTGCATGATCAACAAGGGTGAGGATCCATTTATTACCGCATTTTGAGACGGGCATCTCAATAAAATCCATACCCCAGCGCTCAAATGGTTCGCATGGCGGGAGTGGGTGCATTTCCTCCAGCTCTTGACCCTTCCGATTAGATGAGAAGATCTGGCACTGAGGGCATGAGGCACAGTAAGTTTCAGAGTCGGCATGACGCCGAGGCCACCATCCCCGCCCCTTCAGGAGTTGACGAAGGCCTTTAGGACCTTGGTGCCCATATTCATTATGGAGGATATCGAGCAGGTCTGCACGATGGGTTTTCGGGATGACCGGCGAGCGTTCTGATCGGTCCGGACCCACAAAGGTGAGGACCTCGTCCTCCGGGTCCCACTCGAAGAGATGGAGTCGAATGCGGGCTTCGCGGACAGCCTCTTTTGGGTAAGCAGAAACATCATCTCCTCGCATGATTGCTGGGACTAAAAGGGGCCAGTCTGTAGGGTCTAGGGCATCAGCTGGAGGTGGGGCTGGGGTAAATGCAGCTAGTGTAGAATAGTCTGCCCGTCGTGAAAGTGCATCTGGGACAACCATCTCGGAGCCGCGTTTATAAATGATTGGGGCGTCGATAGCAGCGAACTCGTCTAGCCAGCGAGTGAGTCGCTTCGTTGGCTCTCTTTGCTTCCGGAGGTACTGTAGTGAAGCATGGTCGGTGCGTATGACCACACCGCCACTAGCACCATCTAACCAGTGACTGAACTTCCTCCAGCAGTGTAAGATCGCAAGTAACTCGCGCTCCTGGGCTGGGTAATTCCGTTCTGCTGACGACAAGGATCGTGACTCGAAAGCCACAGGGTGCCATAGGCCGTCTTCGGCCAATTGTTCGACCTCTCCCCCCAGCGCAAAATCTGAAGCATCCGTATTTAGCCGTGTAGGCCGGTCCTCTATCCACGGTTGTAAGACTGGAGTTTCTGTTAGTCGCGCTTTCAGTTCCTCGAAGGCCGCTTCGCATTTTGCTGACCAGACAACAGGTTCTCGTTTCTTAACTCCACCAGCCGTGAGGGCATGAAGTGGTGCAGCAATGTGGGCAAAGTTCCGAATAAAGCGACGGTAGTATGAGGCGAGACCGAGGAAAGAGCGTACTTCGGACACATTGGTCGGACGAGGCCAATTACGGATCGAGGTAAGCTTTTCATCATCCATTGCTATGCCTTTGTCAGACAGGATGTGTCCAACAAACTTGATGGTATGGCAACCGAAGACTGATTTCTCTGGATGACAGAACAAGTCGTTTTTCTCAAGAGCCTCAAGGACCTGACGGACGTGGTCCAAGTGTTCCCCCTCTGACTTCGAGTAGATGAGTATGTCATCGAGGTAAACTAAAACGAACTTGTCAAGAAATGGCTCGAGAATTTTATTCATGACTCGCTGAAAAGCCGATGGCGCATTGGTAAGGCCGAAAGGCATGACAAGCCATTCGAAATGGCCGTAGCGACAGCTGAAGGCTGTCTTGGGTATGTGTGCCACGGCGAGACGCATTTGGTGGTATCCTTGCGAGAGGTCAATCTTCGAAAAGACCCTTGCTCCACCTAGCTGGTCGAGGCATTCGGTAATGCGGGGAAGTGGATATTTGTCCTTGCGGGTGACTTCATTGACTGCCCGGTAGTCAATACACATCCGCAGAGAGCCATCTGCCTTCCGGACGAAGAGTACGGGTGATGACCACGGTGAGCTCGAACGCTGGATAAATCCTTTGTCGAGGAGATTTTTAAGTTGCTTCTGTAGCTCTTCCAGCATCCGTGGTGACATTGGGCGACCCTTCTGAGCAATTGGTTTCGCATCACCGGTATCGATAAGCATGTTTAAGTCTTGCGAGACTGCGGGGATGTGTGGTACACCCTGCGGAAACCTTGAGCGATACCGAGAGAGGGTAGACGATAGTTTCGACTTGAATTCGGACTCCTTCAGGTCCAGGACTGATCTTAGGCAGTCCCCAAGACAGCTGCCTCCTCGGAACCTGGCGCGGGATCAACTCTGGGACCCCCCTCCTCTGCACCAGACCCGCTCCTTCCATCTACTAATCCCCCTATAGTGTCCCCCTCCCCTGATAGCATAGCCACGAAACATTCAGTACCTTGCTTCCGCATTGCACGCCGGAAAGCATGGCGAGTCAATAAAATTGAACTAGCCTCGGACTCCGAGTCGGACATAGCAGCCAAGTGGGGCAGTGAAGGCTTGGTAGGTGGTATCTTCGATGGGTGAAAGTTGTGAAGTTTTCCCTTTTGGTCTCGAAACCGAAGTAAATCCGGTGCGATAGATTCGACATAGCGATCGAAGAAATCGAGACCAAGGATCAGGTCATACCCTCGGAGGGGTGCTAGCTTTACGCCCTCGAGGTTACCCTTAAATTTCCCAAAATGTAGTGTAAGGTCTGCTCGTTGTGCTCGGGTGATTGTCTCACCCAAGACACCCTGTAAGGTATATGGCTCGCTGTGGCGGGATTTGACTTTGCCATGGGCCTTAGCCCATGTCTCAGAGAGATAAGAGCTCTGCCCACCACCAGTGTCCAGTAAGACCCGACAAGGTCTACCCAGGACTGGAAGTGTCAGAGCAATGCTCGAGCCCCAGTGATTCTTGTCGTCATTTGGGTGAACAGCAGCCAAGGGGGGTTCCTCCACAAGGGATGGTCGATCGGGTAGTGTAAACGGTAGAGATTGCAAAGGATCAGATGTTACATTCCGAACGACTGTATAAGAATTCTCCCCCCGACCTGCAGTCCTCACCCCCTCAGCCTTCTCAGAGTCCGAAGACCCTGCCACCTCCTCCTTAATCACAAATGGACTTGGTGGTTGGCTATTTGCCTTGTGGTGAGACAAAGGCAAAGGGTGTCGTGCGCCACCTACCTTCAAGGCCGGTGCGCACTGGGGACTCGAAACATGCAGGCCATCATCAATGGGAGCCAGAGCAGGCCTCAGGCCTGGCTCCCTGGGACTTTTCCCGACTGCTTGTCCTTCGAGTCCTTCTTCGGATCAGAGGACTCGCCTTTAGGTTTCTTCTTGTCCTTACGCTTCGACTTCCCCGAGTTTCGTGAATTACTGAAAGCAGCGACCTTGTCTGAGGTTGAGTGAGACTCAATAGTGCGACGAGTGAATGTTGCGTCGAGCTGCTGGCAGCGGGCGACGAGGTCGAGGTACATTTTCGGGGGGTCACCAGCTTTCAGTGCGCGGGCCGTGGCAGTCCGTAGACCAGCCTTAAAAGCTGCAATCTTAACTCCTTCCGGGAGAAGAGAGCTTGGAATACGGCCTCGGATAGCTTCGAACTGTTGGTAATAATCCGAAAGCGACCCAGACATACGAAGCGCAAAAAGGTCTGCCAATGCTTCATGAGCTAACTCGTCTCTAGTAAATCTGTCTACCAGAGCTGCTCTGAGTTCCTCCCAAGACGAAAATCCGGGAACCCCATCACGAAAGATATCTTCATCCTCCTCGTCATCCAGGGCAGCGGCACGAAGGTTACGGTCCATCTCCCGGTACCACTCCTTAGCTGAGTCCTTGAGGAATGCCGCAGCGAAGTCTACCTTGTGCTTCTCAGGTACAGACCATAAGCGGAAGCCTTCCTCGATCGCCTCAACCCAACGGCTCAGGACTTCGTCCAGGTTCCCATGGAAGGTGGGTCCCTTAAACTCGGAGACTGCCTTACCAAGGTTGT